CATGTATATTTGTCAAACCAAAATATATGACGTGAAGCATTCTGCCTGAACAAGAAAGGGATTGATCCTTTTGGATTTAGTGTGGAAGATATTTACCTCATATGGGTGTGTAGTCTTGTTGCTTTAAGAAGGCAATAATTCTAAGAGATCTGCTCTTGGGTGTCAGTTTAGATTAAACAAATCAGATATGAGCCAAGGGGTTGGTACAGCCTTAAATTCACTTACACATATCTACCACTATATCTCTCTTTTGTCTCTTTGTCTGTCACATATTCACACAGTCACTTACTTTCATAAGGCTTTTCTGTCTTCTTCAACACGTATTGTTGCTGGAACTGCCTGATCTTCAGTGTTTCCATAAGTGTCAGATGTCAAACGTCTCATCTGGTTCAGAACCCTCTCCACACGTAGTCCTGCAGATGTCCTAATTATTGAGATCACCTTAGTTTATCTACATGACATTATAAATTATTTAAAGATGTGCATTTTAAAAAACTCTCATAGATAAGGAGGTTCCCGACAAACTCTCCACCATTTTCTCTACCTCATTCTCCACAATCATGGCGGTCCGTGTAGGATTCGCTTTGGTTTGTTTCCAAATAGGACTTATCTGCAATGCTCAGGTTCAGCTAATTGGCATTATTAAGCTTGCGGTAAGCTCTCAAATGTGAGGGAGAGGCCTGGTGAAGCGTGGGGCACTGTCAGGGGTTTACATTTGTGCTTCTGTGTATGTATGTGGGTGTGCGCACACAAACATCTCTATCTATGTCTGTGCATATGCTCTCGGCTGGCTCTGTCTGCGTGTGTGAAATCTGAGACGAGTGGCTGTCAATTTCAATCAGCCGAGCTCATGGCATGCCTAAGGCCCAGGTAGCCCAATTACCGTCAGAAACGCTCAATGGAGGAGCAGAAGCTCTGGCCCGTCTTCCTTTATTCAAACAGGGCTGAGAGGAGGCAGAGGTAAATGCAATATCGGTCAATGACTTTTCAGAGTCCCTCTTGAGACAGAGTTTGAAACTTGTTGCACTGCTTGCCCACTAACACACTGAGTGGATGAAGGAATAGACTTTGATGGAGCTTAAACAGCTGGAATGAGTGGTGTTCAGAATGTTGGGCTCCTCTGAAACGATTTATCCGTTTTAAGGCAGAAATGTGTCTTGTCTAAATTTCCTTTCTGCCTTATTTCAGGGTGGGAAGATACCAGTGAGGTGGACAGCTCCAGAGGCCATCGCTTACAGAAAATTCACCTCAGCCAGTGATGTCTGGAGTTACGGCATCGTCATGTGGGAGGTGATGTCATTTGGAGAGAGGCCTTACTGGGACATGTCCAACCAGGATGTAAGTGCTTTTAAAATCTAAAGGCTGTATAATTATACCATTACTCTACATCATGTCATTAATGTCATTCATTTACTTTTGAGACAAAAAAATTGGAACAGAAAATTGAGAGTAAGTGACCTCTGGGCTGTCAATTAAGGAGCAAAAAGCACCTTTTGAAAGCACACGTGTTATTCTTTTTTTGCTGATTGAATTTTATTTTGGATGTGCACTAGAAAGAACAGCAGTGCATCCTTGTTATGTTATAAAAGCATTATGGTAGATTACATAAAATTACATAAATACATGGAGGGAAAAAAATAGAATTTGTCTCATGGGGGAAGCGTGGTGGGCACCTCCAGGGTCAGCAATATAAGATATAATGTAACTATACATTGCTGCAGCTCCTGCTTTTTCATGCTGGTATAATATGATTATTTTCAGCTTATGTTTCTTCAAGTCTGCAATGCTAGTCTGCTTTTTTTGGCCAGAAATGGCAGAACATGCTGCAGCTGCTCATCCTCTGCATGCATTGCACCAAACAGTCCACTATGCTTTTAAAGTAATGATGTAGTTCAGGTCAGTTCGGTTCGATTTTTATCAAATAAAGACAGATTCAAAAAATGTCAGAGAATCAACAACATGTGGCACGAAACAGCATCTCATGATTTACTTAACAGAGACTGAGCCAAGCATGCTAAAGTATTGTGTTAAAAACTAAGTACTCTAGTAGCATATGGCGTCTACTAGTATGTGCTGCTTATCATGTGCATTTGATAAATGGATCATGAGCAAATGTGAACACTTCCAAAAAAGCTAATTTTCTGTCAGTTTGCTTTTCTGGCTCATTCAGGTGTGTGTTAACACAATGCCAAAGAAAAAGACATCAGAAGTGGTTCTAGACAATCTGAGAAGAGTTATCCTCCCATTTCCAAACTATTTGAAATCTGTAATTTCATAGTTAGAAAGAACAATCATATGTGGAAAATATTCAAGACAACTGTCAATCTTAGCAATAGTGGATGTTTAAGTCAGTTTACTTAAAGCTCAGAATGTGCAGTTTTCAGTAAAATTGCAAAAAGCTTTCATGTCAGGCTCCACAGGCCTAATTGTGCTGGTTAAATATTAAAGTGAATGACAGAATGTTTGGGACTGAAGAATATGGTTTGTTTAGAAGGATTGTGAGGAGAAATCTCTTTGCATATCACCATCATATTTCATAGAAACTCATCTTGATGAAGTCCTTGTGTGGAAAAGGGTTATAATGAAAATACACCAAAGGAAAAAATGGAGTAAAGGAGCACTGCTTCATTTAAAGTCCAGACCTTAACCCGTTGAAAGAAACTGTGGTCTTTGTGTTGTAGACAAATCGAAATAAGCATAGCGCATATGAAAAGAACATGTAATAGATCAGGATTTGTATCAGCCTGCTATCATAGCGTCATCATTGAAGATGTCCTTGAATTTGTCTTTGAAAGCAGACTTATTATGGGCACAGCCTTACACTATCCCCTCTCCTTCCTGGCCAGCTTTTTGAGGGCCATGAATGATTGCTGAGAGCTCTACTTTGTTCCCCATGTCCGCTTGGATAACGTCCACTCTCACAGACACCAACAAAAACACACAAAACTATTGGATCGAGTCCCACGCCATGAGCTCTTTCTCCCTAAGCTACCCTTAGTGAGAAGACTAGCCAGCTTTTGGGTTCTCTATGGACCTCGCGCCACCAAGACTGTCCAACCCAGCAGATGTTGCCTCAGTGGGCCAGCAGCAAACACTGCCTGGTGGGACTGGCACCGCTCAGCATGTCCACCTCCTTAGTCCACACATGCTCACACACACACACACACACACACACTCTCTCTCTCCTTTTCCAACTGTAGCATCAAAGCCTTGTTGTAATCCGTTATTCAAGATTTTTCTGAGCTGTACCTAACTTCTCAATGGAGAAGAGACACCATACAGAGCAGCTCAAATGTTTGAATTCAGATATTTTTCACAGGATTAGGGTTACAATTTTATTGTGCAGCTAAAATGATGTAGATGTATTGATTTTGTTGGGCAGTATGGTCATCTTAGGTCTGATTTTTAATTGTAGCGGGAGATTATGCATCACTTATGTATTTGGAGTTTTGACTGAATTAATTTGTTTGTGTTATAAATCATACCCTTTTGCCAAAGATGAAGACCAGTTTCAACTTTTCTTTTTTTTTAAATATGACCACAGTGACACCAATTCAGCTTTTAAAACACTTGACACTCACTCTGACTTCCATCAGGGCCAGCATAGCCTGTAAGGCTTTCAAGAAGCAAGTGTCAAGTGGCTGTGCTGAACAGTGTTAATTTTATAAAAATTTGTCAAGCCCCCCCCTGTGGCTCCTACAGTAGCGCTGCCTCTGCCCTGCCGCATCCCTGTTTCCTCGCTCGGTCCTCCGGGGCTGACATGTGATGGGAGGAGGAAGGGCGCATCAGCCTGAATGCAAGCTGTCGCTGTAGGGAGTAGCAGAAGTCTCTGTGCATAGCACCAATAGTCCGGCTGTTGGCAAGGCGAGGGTGAGACAGGGATGAGTGTGCCATGATCACTTAGAGAATACGCCTAATGTAATCACCCATGAAAAACCTATGGTATTTTGTTTTTTATGAAGTACATACATCATTGTCAACCCTCCAGTTGGTAGAAAATTGATGACAAATGATGACTGACAGCATTTGATTGTAATTTCTGCATCAAGAAGGGGCGGTATATTATGCATTGGTCAGAAAGTTGTACCAGCATCTGGAATCAGCTTGGTCCATTTTAAATATATTTTGACAGCCAATATAGAAAATGAAAACAATTACTTAACATTCACTAGATTATTTTAGGTGCCCCTCATCCACGCTGGAAAATGTGGTGATGTTCTCATGTTAAAAGTGAGCAAAGCCGACAAACTAAACTCAGATCTTGGCTGTACACCATTCAACAATGGGGACCCATAAAGGTCATAGAAAAAAAATTATTGTTCCTGTCCATTAGTCTAAGAGGAAAATGAGGCCTTTTCCAAACATTTTAAGTTGGACGTCCACACAGTGAGAAAGGCTGTTCGCATGTGGAATACATTAAAGACTCTTGCCAATTTCCACTGGGGTGAACGTCCCAGCAGGTTTACTCACAGGTCAGACAATGCAGCGCTCAGACTCTACAGGCTTCATTTAGCAGCTTAAATGTTACATATCATGACAGAGCAATAAGAACTGATTGAACAAGAATGGCTTTTGTGAAAATTTCAACAGGAGAAGGCCTCTTCTCTAAGAAAACAAAAGCATGGCAACACGATTTAAGTCTCATTACAGTCAGATAAATACTTGTGAAACTGGAATTAAGTTAACATATATTCTATGCAATAATGTCATAAAGAAAATAGTGGATTTTTTCAGTTTGCATTTACAGGGAGTCTCTCCAGTTTTCTATAATCCCATTAACGTTCAGACATAATGTCTTACTTTGCTTCAGATGGTATTTTCTCAGTTCATTTGTGATTGATTCAGTTATATTTTGAAGTCACATTTGTTATGGTTCACAAAGTTAATGCAATACAGGAACAAAAACCTGTTTTAGATTTTTAAGCTCTTGAGTTTGCAAACACGTGTGCATAGCAGTTTCCTTTTAGTCACCATTAAGTCTCTTCTCTTACACTACCCAGGTGATCAATGCGATTGAACAGGACTACCGTTTGCCCCCGCCCATGGACTGCCCCAGTGCCTTGCACCAGTTAATGCTGGACTGCTGGCAGAAAGACCGCAACGTACGACCTCGATTTGCAGACATCGTCAGCACCCTGGACAAGATGATCCGCAACCCCACCAGCCTCAAAGCTGTAGCCAACATTCCTGCAGTGTGAGTAAAGAACTTTTCACCTGACGCACACTTTCACATTCAGGCTGTTTTTAGATACGCACAACTTTTATTTCAATCTGTTTCATAGAGACGGTATTTCCACGCCATGGCTTTTCAAACTAACTCAGAACTCATATGTTTTCTTTCTTTCCTTTACCCCTTCATAAAATAAACATGAATTTATTACTGCTGATTGCATCAAACTTGATTTTTTTCTTTCTCCTGTTTTTTTCCTCTCCAATCCAATCTAATCGTGATATTGGCTTTGGAGTTTCACTTCTTTACTTCATACTCCTGTAATGAAGGAGCGAAAATATTCTTAGAAAACAACTGCAATACACAGAAGAACGTCTAATTTACATAATGCACACAATTAGAATGCTGGTTATTTTTAGAGGCAGCACCGGCGCGTATTTGTTCTTTTTAGTCTCTGAATCTAAACTTGATAGTTTTGGATGGCTTGTTTTTGGGACAATATCTGCCAAACTTAAAAAAAAACAACAACTCTCTAGCTCAGCCAGAATAGATGCGTTTGTCTTTGTGCTGGAAACTTTGCAAAGCCATTTGTTTTTTGCTGTATGTTTCCGCTTGTTACCATGTTGCTCAAGGTGAACTTCTGGCTTCAACTGAGATTACATTTGTGCAGTAGAGCATGTTTGTTTCCAACGTCCCTCCTGTGTTGTGCTCGGTTCACCGTTACTACACTCTCCAGGACCAGTTCCTTTGTGCTGTAAAGATATAAAGACTGGTGTTTGGGTTAGAATTTTGACCCTATCTGATTAACAATTTATCATTTTTTTGTTTTTTCTTGTTCTTGTGTTCTTTTGAGCATTTCAATTAGATATAAACAGTTCAGGCTCTCTTTCTCCTCCTGTCACACATATACGCACATACACAAAACCCCACAGGTACTCTGCTCATAAAATCTCACTTGCTAAATATTACATCACAGCACTTTTTCTTTCACTCATCTTTTCCCCTCCCCCTCTTCTCCTTCAGGCCTTCTCAGCCACTGTTGGACAGATCCATACCTGACTTCAACACCTTCAGTTCTGTAGAAGACTGGCTCTCTGCCATCAAGATGAGCCAGTACAGAGATAAATTCCTCAACTCAGGCTTTACTTCCTTACAGCTTGTAGCTCAGATGACCTCAGAGTGAGTTTGCTTGCTTGTGTACAAATGAAGAGTTTCAATCCAATATTGCACTTGATGAGCACACTTAGATAATGTGGCTAACAGTCAGGCACATGCAGTTTTAGCATAAAGGGTAACAGCAGTGTGACTCATTAAATAATTGCATGCTTACTAATATGGAACTGAAAGAAAATCGCTCTGGAAGGAAGAGTTAAATGTGCTTCTTTGGTATTATGACTGTTTGCACTTTGTGCAAACAAGTTTCCAATCAGAAATTGCTTAGAATCCTTTGAATAGATAGTTTTGAAGATTTTTTACTCACCGCTGTCTTTGAATGTGTTTTCTGGGTGTATGTCGGTATTTCTCATTGATGCAAATATTTTGCCAAGTTTACTTTAATTAACAGCGTTGCATGGTTTACAGACGGATGTGAAAATGTAAAATTATTCCAACATTTTTTATTAAAAATGTGTGCTCGAGGCTTTGAAAACATTTATGCAGTCTCTTTGCAATTCAAAGAAACATGCATTACCAAGTATTCTCTCAAGCCATAAAATTAATTGAGTAAATTTATGTTTTCTGTTCAGTGCCAGAAGCTTTTCGTTCTTAAATGTGTGCTTTCATACAGGGTGATAGTAAGATTTTAAAAGCATTTGGAAATGATAGGCCTTTTTTTCTGGCATAATCATATCTTCTTCAAAAATCCATTCCTCCCCCCAGTATGTTGGAGATCCTTTCATCCTCGTCTCATCTTTCAGTTTCTTTCTCTGTCTCTTCTCTCCAGGGACCTACTAAGAATAGGAGTGACCCTCGCAGGCCACCAGAAGAAGATCCTCAGTAATATTCAGTCCATGAGGGTGCAGATGAGCCAGACACCTACGACTATGGCATGACTACAGGAGGCGCTGTGCCACGGAACGGGCAGCATTCGCAGGACCAACAACAGTAGCCCTCGAATGACCCCCGATCCATCGGAACGCGCCAGAGTCGAGACTATTGTCTTAATTTAAACCACTACCATGGCAACAGGACACCAGGGTCTATCGTACTACATGGTCAACACTTCATGCAACCCATGCTAAATGTTCAGGGTCTACAACTGTTACTGTTTTGAAATCCAACCCAAAAAAGACAAACATCAGTTGTTGTGGTTTTAAACTATATTTATGTCACCATAAACCAAAATGATTCCAACAATCAGACTTCAGCACAGGGACCCGCTCACAATAATGGCCGTATGGTGAAATGAGTGATATCGTACTTCTATATTATATGGACCAGAAATTTGTTAAAAATGTAAACACAAGTGTGACACATTTTGAAACCTGTGATCCGTGGTTCTACCATACCATTGTCAGTATGTGCAATGAAAATGCCTCATCAAGGTGAGAAGTAAGACCCAGAAGAAGAGGCAACGGACCAGTAACAATACATAGAGGAGGAAGTATACAGGGATGTACAGTGGATCACCATTTTCAACTTTCACTTGATCTTTCGCTTGTTTGAAGATTTTTGAAAAATGTATTGTAAATGAACTAATGAAACTTCAGAGCTTAGTTATATTTTGTCTTTTACCATCTGTTTATTTGTTTTGTCACTATAGCAAGATACTGTATGCTTGTATTTTAATGTTAACACTACCTATGGAGGTTTAATTGACAGGACTTTAAAAAGTCATCATGTGAGGAACCACCAGATTCAGAGAATATAAGTATGTTTATCTCTTGCTAAATATGATTATATCTTTCATAATAAACCTTCATATTGAAGGTGTTATATATGAATATGTATGTACAGAACTCTCTGCTTGCATTTTTGGCAAAGACGTGTTAACTAGATTGTTGTAGACACAAACAAAGTGTAGTTTCCTATGATGCCCTGGATTTCTTTGGACAACTGAACAAGGGACAATTGGTTGTGCATCTCTACATTCCAGGAGCATTAAGACAATTCTTGACTGAATCTTACCCTGGGGAAATTGTCAAATTAATGGTTGACAAAATGTTATAGTAGATCTGTATGAAAATTACTGTAGGAGTTTAAAATAATTGAAAAAATATCCATGTACTGGAGATCATGTTAAATGTGGGTGTACACATGCCGTCTCTTGCTGATGAGCACTTACATGTACAGATATGTTTTGTGTTCCATTTGTCTTCGGACCTGTTATTTGTGTTGAGAGCAGTTTGCGTCATCTAAAGGAGAATGAAGCTTCGTGCCTTGGCTGACCCAAATATCTACATGGTAAGCCCCTGCTGGATCACCACTACACTTCACATTATTCAGTATCGGGTTCAATTTTGTTTCAGGCTATTTTGGTTTGGGCTTCAGAAATCTTGTTCATGGCAAGGGTTTCTCCAAATGTCAAATAACTTAATCAAGGTATTAGCGATCAGGGTGAATCATAGTTCTTTACAGATTGACAATAAACATCTGGCCGAAGGTTGCCAACAAGCGTGTGATGCCATTTTGACGTTTAGACTTAAACAGCACTTATGGGCACATTTGTCATGATGCTACACAATCCTTGGTCGACTGATGCAGTTTACCTGCTGTGTTTGTCCATCCACCTTAACTAAATGCCGTTGCCATATGGACAGGCCAGATGAAGCCAGAATCCATGCTGCTAAAGGGAGTTTCACACTTTCATGAAATTGGTTACATTCCCCCCAAAGGATCTAATGGAATACAGCCTTTAAAAATTAATGCAAAGTAAGGTATTTTAAAGCAAAAATCTGGGATTTCTCTTTCTATGTCTGGAAATGTTGCTGGTTTGATTGCACTTGATTGCATTGTGCAAAATGATAGTGCTTGAAATCAATTACTAGTGGTTTTGTTGTTGTGTTTCAGGCTCAGGACCATATAAGATATTGTTATATTCTACATATCAAGTTATAATGTGAATATACGTAAATGTGTGTGTGTTTGTTAACAAGACTGATCCTTAAATCTTGATAATATTTCTTTGAAGTTAGAGCATAGAAAAAAAATTAGCTGTTGCCCATGATTAACTGTTGTAGTATCCATTCTTTACTATAGCTGTGACCCTGTTAAATCCCTCTTGGCTCTATTTGAAGAGTGGCGATAGTCTACCTTGCATCCAAAATTAGAAATTGATGGCAGACCCATTAGCAGATTATTAACTATACTCACCCCTCTCGTCATCCTCCTCCTCCTCCTCTCTTTCTGTCTTGTCCTCTCCCCCCAAGTACTCATGCTAGCTGGCAGATCTCCAGCTCATTTATCCTGGGCGTAACCAAACTGTCCTGAGATCTGTCTGGAGCTCGACTAGGCCAGGGCTGGCCGGAGAAATAGTTGGCTCCATGCTCCATTGGGCCCATGCAAGGTGCAAACACCTGCTAAGACCCCTGTCTGACAGGCATCTGATCAGCCCCAGAGAGGGAGACTGATGGAACCAACTAAACACACACACACACTCAGGCACCCGTCGTTATGTTATGTCATGTACGGTGTGCATTCTGGTGGTTAATGATTTTTTTTCTTGCTATACCTGTGTATTTATATGTGATTGAAAGAGGAGGAGGAGGATGGGATTTAAAGGAGGACGGAGATGGGGTAACTTCATACCATGGAAAGAGAATGGTTAGATAAGAGCTAGCTTAGTTTGTTGCAGGTTAATGTTCCGACATTCCATTCTCTAACTGCTAAAATCTTTGGTGAAGTTTGGTCAGGGAGAAGTCTGTAATCACGGTACTGAAATTCACCCAATCACTCATTTACTAACTAAATATGATCACATGTTCCTTTATACAGGCACAGACATCTTTCACTGAATCCACTTAAATAATTTGAATTTATTAGTCCTTCATTCGGCTCCATTTGATTTTCAACCCAAGAGCCTGTGAATGAGATGGTGAATGTATTCATTACGCCACAGTGTAATTCTTTTTTCCTCATTTGCTGTGTTTGTCTGTCTAAATATTTAGCTGTAATGACATTCTAGTATGATGAATGGAGAGGCGGTTTGCTGTCCCCGTCTAAAAGCCTGTACATATAGAAGCCATTCATCACACACAGATACAAAACACAAGGACTGAGCTTGTTAAATGTTTCATGGTGTTGTAACTGTCTGAAGAGAGCCCAACGACCCTTTTAGCAACTGAAATCATGCCTGTCTTTTACGGATCAGAGCTGTGCAAGCTGTGTTCACTTGAAAATTACCTGAGTTGTCTCCCTGCAAAAATGCTCTCATTTAACGACTCCATTCTCTCCCTTTTTTTTTATTCTCTTTCAGACTGGGACTTTCTCACTGTAAGAATTACACACTTTAAATGGAATATATCCAGCACTTCACATCCACGCGTTCTAATGCACTCATGCTATACACAAAGAGGAGTTGCTGTGGGCAGCCAGTGAGGAGAAAGATTGGACAAAGGTGGGACATTTTCAATAAGCCACAGTCTCTTTCGGGTACACTTATAAATGGGGGAGCTGATTACAAGTGCACACATCATTGTTTGTTCGAGATACAGAGGATGTGTGTTCTATATGTATCCCACACGTCTAAGACATGAACGTGCTGGTGCATCGTTGAGGAGTGTGATTGGTATCCTTTTTCATTAATTTCTGTACAGTTGCCACTTGTAAATTGTGAAAAGTATGTGTCAAAAGTTTGTAAGATGTAACTTTCTGAGAACTATTGTACTAAAAATGCACTCAATAAATGCCTTGGAGAACAAGTCACTTCATAGTCTGTAACCTGATGCAAGATTATTCTGTTTCTTATATAATGAGAAAAGAAAACGGCAATACGGGGTTGTTACCCACCAGCACCACTGTCAGAATTGTGTTGAAGTCTGGCAACTGTGCAAAAAAAAAAACTTTGTGTCACCAACAGTCTGGCTGTCACCACACAAAAAAGCTATCAGCCAGCAATACATAAAACAACATGGGAATTACCTACAGCAACTATATATCTCCTCCCCAAGTCAAAACAAGTTACAATTTTTTGTAACTTGTAACTGTAGGAAATTATCCTTCCATCACATATCCACCTACAAGACT